GTCAAGTGGAGGCTGCGCGTGCAGCACGTGGTGCAGGAGAGCCCGCCCGCCTTCCTGAGCGGCCTGGCCCAGCGCGTGTGCATCCAGCGCAAGCCGCTCAGGTGCGCAGGGAGGCCGCCCGCGGGACTGGCCCGTCTCCCCTGGGGCAGGGGGGAGGTGGGCATGGATCTCCGGGTCAGCAGCTGGGGGGGAGAAAGATGAGGCAACCCACTCTGTATCGGAAAGTTGGAGGGAGATCCTTCGGCCACCCAGCCGATCCCGACGCACAGCCACCCTCCAGGGCGGAGGGGACCGGCCCCCGTGGGTTTCCGAGGCTGTCAATCTTCATGGACGCGGGCAGCCTCTGTCTCCTGTGGAGCTAGCTGCAAGGTGGCATCGCTCTCTGCCCTCGCCGTTTGCAGCCCAACCTTCGCCCAGGGTATCGCCAGGGCGCCGTTGGGGAAGATTACAGTCTGGGGTCCCCATTATCCCACAGGCGCCTGCTCTGTGCTGGACACCCCGGAGTGACCAAGACAGCCCGGGGGTCTGGTCTACCAGTCAAGCAGGGCAGCTAGAGCCAGCCCCAAATTCTGATGGCTCACTGTGGGCAGGGATGGCCAGGGAGAAGCCATGAAGAAGAGGGACTCCTGAGGGGAGATCAAGGCTGGCTTCCTGCAGGAGGAGGCCCGGGAGGGTTCGGAAGGGACGAGCAGATAGAGGACCTCCATGCTTTCTTCCTCAGTCAGTCGTGAGCACGCAGTGTCCACCCTGGGGCAGGGCCCGGCTGGGGACACAGAGGGGACAAGACAGTCCCCGCCCTGCCCTCAGGAACCCTTAGCCTAGGCCTCTGCCCGTAGTGGGCGGGGTTGGGACCCGGGCCTGGTAGAACCAACCCTGAGGCAACAGAAAGCAGGCTGGAAGAAGTGAAGTTTGGAGGCCAGGTGCCAGCGCCGGGCATCCATGCACGTCACCCTGTGACCTGCCCCCGAGCCCTGAGGACCTTGGGCCCAGTGGTGGCAGCGGTGGCTTGGCTGTTCCCTTGTGGGCGCGTTACTGAGGGTTGATGTGTGATCATGCGCTGTCGGTCACCATCCGAAACCTGATGCCTGAGGGCTTCTGACTAAGCATCTGGCAGTGAGGGGATGTGACCTATGGCTCGGGGTGGGTGGGGTGGGGTGGGGATGTGTGATTGTTGCCCTGGGGGAGGTAGACATTGCTTTAAGTTGTGGAAAGTTAAAAGCCACAGGCTGGGCTGCTCCCTACAAGGCCAGCGGTTCAAAACCAGCAGCCACTCCGCCAAAGAAACATGAGGCTGTTTGTTCCTTTGAAGAGTTAACAGCCTTGGAAACCCACACGGGCTGTTCTGCTCTGTCCTGTAGGGTCGCCTACAGTGTGTCTCAAGCTGACCAGTGCCAGCCCTCACTACGAGGAGGGGCTGTAGGTCCTGCCCACCCAACAGACCACCCCCTCCCTCCCACCCCCCAGGTTCTGCGCCGAGCGCCTGCGCTCCCTCCTGCACACCTTGGAAATCGCCGACCTGGCCGACTTCTCCCCGCTCACCCTCCTTGCTAACTTCGCCACCCTTGTCAGCACCTATGCCAAGGGTAAGCACCCCCCCTGGACTCCTCCCTCCCTGGGCTTTGGGCAGGGGTGCCAAGTTCCTGCAGGGTCTTGAGGCTGCTCCCCACCGGGCCTTGTCCGGCCAAGCCTGGGAGCTTGAGCTCTGTGCTGAGGGCAGTGGGGAGCCATAGATAGTTGTTGAGGGCGTGGGCTGAGTGCTCAGATTCGTATTTCTCGGGGCGCGCTCTGGCTATGTTGCGGAGAAGGAGGGACCAGAGGGGTGAGACAAGACCTGGGAAGGGCTGTGGGGTCTGCTGACACAGCAGGCTGTGGGGGTTGCCTGTGGGTGCCTCCACTAAACGGTGGGGGGCTTGTGACAACTGACATGTATACCATCTCTGACGAGTGTGGGATCAGGGTGTCAGCGGGGCCACGCTTCCCCCCCAGAGCCTCTAAGGGAGGTTCCTTCTAACCTATTCATACCTGCTGGTGGCCGGGCAGCCTTGGTTTGTGGCTAGCCCATCCCCATCTCTGTCTGTTCTCCTGCGGCGGGGTTCTGTGTGTCCCCCCATCTCTGTCTCTATGAGTTGTTGGATTGAGGCCCACCATGATCTGGTGTGGCAGTCTCACAGGGGTACCAGATGGGCAACATGTTGTACTGCTGACCCAAAAGGTGGAGGTCTAAGTCCACCCACCCAGAGGTTTCTCTGAGGAAAGGCCTGGCAAACCCGGCTTGGGAGCCCTGTAGGCACTGTTGTTCTGTGGTCAGCGGGTGGCTGGAATCCACTGTGGCCTCCTCTGATGATTGTTATGATTTTAATGGTACGTTCACGTACCTGGGGACGGTTTCCCACCCGGCAGGTCCGTTTCCCATTCAGCAGTTGCCACCCGAGTTGCTGGCGATGAGGGTCATGCTCTGCTGCTGCTTCATTTCCGCTCCTCGGGAGCCCCGATGGTGCCGCGGGTCACATGCTGGGCTGCTCCCTGCCAGGCCAGCGGTTCAAACCCAGCAGCCACTCCGCCGAAGAAAAATGAGGCTGTCTGCTCTTGTAAAGAGTTACAGCCTCGGAAACCCCCAGGGGCTGCCCTGTCCTGCCCTGCTGGGTGGCTGTGAGTCAGAATGGACTCACGGGCAGGGAGTTTGTTTAAGTGTAGGTTCCCTGCCCACTTACCTTCCTTTTTAAAAAAATCATTTTATTGGGTGTTTGTACAACTATCACAATCCATCCATCCATTGTGTCCAGCACATTTGTACATTTGTTGCCATCCTCATTCTCAAAATATTTTCTTTCTACTTGAGCCTTTGGTATCAGCTCACTTGTTTCCCCTCCCTCCCCCAACCTCTCTCCCTTATGAACCCTTGGTAATTTATAAATTATTATTTTTCCTTGATAATTTATAAATTATTATTCTTTTTTCATGTCTTACACTGACTGATGTCTCCCTTCACCCATGTTCCTGCTGTCCATCCCCCTGGGAGGGGGTTATAGGTAGATCAATGTGATCAGTTCCCCCTTTCTCCCTCCACCTTCTCCTTTCCCTCCTGGTATTGCTACTCTCAATATGGGTCCTGAGGGGTTTATCTGTCCTGGATTCCTTGTGTTTCCAGCTCTCATCTGTACCCGTGTACATGCTCTGGTCTAGCCGGATTTGTAAGGTAGAACTGGGGTCATGATAGTGGGGGGGAGGAAGCATTAAGGAACTAGAGGAAAGTTGTATGTTTCAGCAGTTCTATACTGCACCCTGACTGGCTCGTCTCTTCCTGTGACCCTTCTGTAAGGCCTTACCTTCTTTAAGGAGCCCAGTCCTCGCTCACGGGTGGCGCTCCTTGCCCTGTGAGCCCAGCTGTCATGCAGCTGCCAGGGGAGTGAACTCAGGGTTCGCTTTGGGTCCAGGGTGGAAGAGAGTCTCTCTCGGGGCCGTGGTCTTAGTGTGACCTCATCCGTACTGTGGTGACATCTGTGAAGGCAGGTCCTGTTCACAGGTATGGGGCTCAGGATGTCTTCAGCATAGCCCGAGGGGGGCGGGGCATAGTTCACCCCACAATCACCTGGGAAGGAGTTGGTTGCTCTGCCCGTGCCCCGGGGCGCCACAGCAGCCTCTGAGCAAGGGAGGCTCAGGGCCAGATTGGTCCTTGAAGGCTCTCCAGGCTGGGACCTGAGCAGGAGAGGAGGGGCCACGCTGGGGGTGGCCGTGGGGTTAGAGAGAGTGATAGGAGGGGAGAAGCTGGAGGAGGATGGTGGGAGAAGTCTGTGAACAGTGGAGCCATGACCCTGGACTTTATTGGCCAGCATCCCCACCCTCCTCAAGCTCTAAGCTGGCCAAGGGCACAGGCTGATACCTGGGGATTACTGTCCTGTGCGAGCAACTAGGTCAGATCCAGCTGATGGCTGGCGTCCTGTGGCTAGGGGACCTCAGCCCTGCTGCATTCACAACCCCCCCCACCCCCCCAATGACTGGGTGATAGGCATGCTGGTCATTTCGTGTCCATTCGTCTATCCTGTCTCGGTCTCTCTTCTCCCATGTCCTCTGCACACACACCTGGAACATCTTGTTGTTGTGTGTCCCCAGGTACCTTCCCTCACCTTTCAGTTCTTGCTTCAGGGGTGTCCCTTCCTCCAGGATTCCCTGCCTGGTTGGAGGCCCTCTTCTGTGTCCTCAGTGTCTAGGGCTGGGGCTGCCCCCACCACTTGACTCTGTGTGTTGGGGGAGGGTGGGTGCAGCAGGGTACGCTGGGTTGGTCACCCCTGTGTCCCCCGTCCCACCCAGGACAGGACCAAGCACAGGAGACAGGATGGCTTTTTTTTTTGTTTGTTTCCCCTTGGAGGGGGTGGGGACTAAATGAAAGTGAATACATGAATTCCTTCATTCGTTCATTGGCTCCGCATAGGGGCCGCGCCGGCCCTGCGGAAGCAGCAGAAACTTCAGAAAGACCCCGTTCCAGTGCGCTGGGGGCTTCTGTCCCTGATGGAAAGACAAAGGGTGGCGGTGGTTTTGGCCTGCCTGATGTGAGCTCCGCAGAAGGGGCGGCCTCCTGGGAAGGCCTCTGAAGACGGAGGACCCCCTCCTCAGGCAGCGGGACGGGGAGACAGCCGTGGCTCAGGCAGGAGGGGTCTCCCACCGCAGGGGCACTTTGGTTAGGTCTTGGCGGTGTGGCCTCTCCGGATCCGGGGGATCTGGAAGGAAGACTTTCTGCGTGGGGTGCTCGATGACTGTCAGCCCGACGTCAGTCCTGAGAAAGGCAGCCAGGGCGGCTCAAGTCCTGGCGCTAGGTGCCTGGGGTGCTGGTATGCGCAGCGGGTGCTCAGCTGCATTCACTGCACCGGGCCTGGGGGGGTGGGTGGACATGGGGGTGGTGGGGGGCAGTGATGCCTCACAGGCCCCTCCCCAACCCCTGCAGGCTTCACCATCATCATTGAACCCTTTGACGACAGGACCCCGACCATTGCCAACCCCATCCTGCACTTCAGGTGAGCTTGGGGACTCCTCCGGGGGGCGGGTCTGCCGCTGGGCCTGGCCCTCACCGCCACCCTGACTCCCTGCAGCTGCATGGACGCCTCGCTGGCCATCAAGCCCGTCTTCGAGCGCTTCCAGTCCGTCATCATCACATCCGGGGTGAGCCCCTGCCTCCCCCACACCAACGCCCAGCCTTCTCCAGGGCCGCCTTGGGTCCCCAGCCCTGCTCAGGCCCCCCTCCGACTGTGTTCCCTCCCCACCCCCAGACGCTGTCTCCACTGGACATCTACCCCAAGATTCTGGACTTCCACCCTGTCACCATGGCCACCTTCACCATGACCCTGGCCAGGGTCTGCCTCTGCCCCATGGTGAGTGGGGGAGGGGCAGGGCAGGTGGGGGTGAGAATCAGAGGTCCACTGTTCTCCTACCACCTGTCCTCCTGGCCTTGCGTCAGCATCCTCCCTCTGGTCATTGGGGAAGAGGGAGCAAGGGACCAGGTTTGGAACCCCTGTGGGGCCAGGGGCCTGGTGTGGGGGAGGGGCTGCAGTGGGGTCGGTGCTGGCTAGTCTCTGCCTGGCCGCCTGTGACCTGCCTAAGAGACCCATCTGTTCGGCCTCAGGCTCCTCCTCTGTAAAATGGGTGTCGCGGCCTGGCCTTCGACCCCTGTCAGTGAGGCAGAAGGGCCTCCAGGCCCATCGCCTGGTTTTCATTCAGGCTGCTTATTTATTTTGCAATCGTTCAGTGAATAACTTATTAAGAACTTACTGTGGGCTAGTTGGGAGAGGAAAGGAGGCTTTCTGCTCCCGTAAGGAGGCAGCCTCCGAAACACACAGGAGCGGTTCCTCCCCATCCTGTCGGGTCCCCAGGAGTTGGCCCTGACTCAGGGCTGCGGGTTGGCTAGAGGGGGCCCTAGTAGTGTAGTGCGCTCTGGCTTTTTATTTTCTGGGTGACCTCGGGCCTGCGAATCACCCTCTCTGTGTAGAGGAACAAAGCGCTCTTCAGCGTGCCAGCTGGAGGTTGGCCTTCACACGTCGGCCTTTCCCGACCGCATCCCTGACGACCATCCCTCTCCCCCCCCACTGCAGATCATTGGCCGAGGCAACGACCAGGTGGCCATCAGCTCCAAGTTTGAGACCCGGGAAGACATTGGTATACTGCCCAGCGGGGGCTGGGGAGGGGGGCTTGTGAGGCCTCCAGAGGGGGCGGGTATCAGGGAGTACCAAACCAAACCAAACCAGACTCACCGCGACCTTTGGGACAGGGTAGAGCTACCTCTCTCTGAGTTTCTGAGATGGTCACTGTTCACAGTGACAGACGCATCTGGTGGTTTCGAACTGCCGACCTTGCAGGTCCAATGCACAGTAACCACTACAGCAGCTGGGCTCCTTCAGTCTGTACAGACTGCAGTGAAACCCTCCCCCAGTCTCAGCGTGGCGTGTTGCACATCAAGGGGTTCATCTCCTGCTCAGTGTCTGTGGGCAAACTGTCCCCTCCTCACCCTGGGGCTGCCATCCGGGCACTTGGCCGAGGGTCTGAGGAACGCCCCAATGTGGCTGTAGCAGCAGCACTCTCGGGGACAGTTGGAACAAGTGGGAGTCAGTCCTCTTCCAGTTGAGGTGGATGGATGGAGGGCCCTGTTCAGAGCTCCAGCTCCATGGGCCGGCCTCCTCTCACGGTTGGCTCTCGGAGAGGCCCCTGCCCTGCCAGCCCTGTTTCCTTGTTTGGGGACCTCCCCGTGGCTTGACATCTCTCCTCCCCACACCTCTCCTCCTCACTAGCTTGCTTGAGTCTCTTCTCTCTCGACACTGACTCGAGATGCCCCTGTGTTACGTCTTCATTCCCCGTCACAGCGAGCCCAGTTTCCCCATGGCCTGTCACTTCTCATAGACTGGGTCACCAAGGGCCTGTCTGTGATTTCCCGGCTGGGAAGAGCTGGCAGGATTCTCGTGCGTGTCTGGGAGGGAGCACCGCTCCACCTGTAGCACCGAGCCAGTGTGATGTGCAGTGGGGGTCATGGTGACATGGGTGAAGGACACTCGCCCAGGAGTAACACGGGGCCACTTCTGCCCTTGTTTCCTCAGCTGTGGCGAGTCTCAGACACTTGCAGGGAGGGGGAAAGGGGGCAGGAGCAAAGCGGGAATATGGCAAGCCGCCCAACAGGTGGCCCTTTGGGGCCCAACCTCTGCTCCCTCACAGCGGTGATCCGCAACTACGGGAACCTCCTGCTGGAGATGTCGGCCGTGGTCCCTGACGGCATCGTGGCCTTCTTCACCAGCTACCAGTACATGGAGAGCACCGTGGCCTCCTGGTATGAGCAGGTGCGTGCCCCACCCTGCTGCCCGCTCCCCAGAATGGGCCCCCTCTCCTGTGCTCCGGGCTGTGTGCCGTGGTGGGTCCGGGTGAGTGGGCACACCTCCCATAGGCCAGCACGGCGCGAGGCCCACATGGACCATTGGAAGGAACAAGTGGCTTGCACTTCCGTGGCGGCCACGCCCCCCCCTTCCCCTGGACCTCCCAGTCAGGTTGGGGCCATGCCATTGGCAGAGTCCCTGTGGGCCCCTCCATCCAAGGAGAGGTAACCATACCCTGACTCTCTGGGTTTCTTGTCCGCTTGTGGGGTTGCCCTGTTACCGTCCTCCCAGCAGACAGGATTGGGTGAGACGAAACTGGGAGTAGGCTAGCTGGGTGTTGGGCTATTCATGGAAGATTCCGGAGAAGATAGGCTGGACGGAGGGTCGAAGAGAGCCTGTTCTTAGGAAGCATGTGGGCAGGGGCAGGGAGCATTCTGGAATCCACAGCTGGCACCGAAAAAGCAGCAGGATGCGGGTGGGGAGTGGGCTGGTCTGTCCTTTGTGCTGGTGAACTTGGGGTGAGAATACAGGGGCAGGGAGAGGAAGCAGAGGTTGACTTTGTACTTAAACCAGGCTCTCTCCACACCGTGGGAAATAGGGCCGCCAGCCCCACGAGCCCCCCTGTATTTCTGGGTGACTTTGTGCCCTTTTGAAGAAATGTTCACCCACCACAGGGGCCCAAAGATTAGCCTCCGGCTGCATTTTCTCTTTGGGACTTTAGTTTTCACAGTGCGCTCTCAGAGGGACCTCAGGTTCATCTTTGGGTATGGTGTGAGGAAGGGACCGTGGTTTGCTTTCCTCCTCTGGACAGGCAGTAGCTCCAGAATGACTTATTGAAAAGCGCTTTGCCCCACTGCAAAGCCTTGGTGACCCTGTTGTGTGTGTGTGTGTGTGTGTGTGTGTGTGTGTGTGTGTGTATGTCTCTCTCACTGGTCTGTGTCTGTCCTTGTATTAGAACCACCCCATCTCAATGACTACAGCCTTGCAGTGTCCTATGAAATCTCAGGGCAGCCTCTGATTGGCTCTGCCTGGCTTATAGCCAGCCCTGTTACCAATCAGGAGGCAGCCTGATTGGCTATCTTGGGCTACACGCCCGCCCTACTAACGCAGATGATGGTGATTGGTTCGCCACCTGGAGCACCAAGCTTCCGGAAAGAAGCAAGGTTGAGCAGTCCTGTGACTCCCCGCCCCTCTGTGGCTCAGGGGAGCATGATGGAGTTGGGCATGGTGCCAAGCCCACGGCCCTCCCTGTGCCCCCTCAGGGCATCCTGGAGAGCATCCAGCGGAACAAGCTGCTCTTCATCGAGACCCAGGATGGGGCCGAGACCAGCGTGGCCCTGGAGAAGTACCAAGAGGTGGGCCTGGGCTTGGGGAGGGAGGGGTGCCAGGCCGGGAGATGGCTGGTGGAGGCGGAACCAAGGTGCGACCACATGTCCCCTCCCTAGGCCTGCGAGAACGGCCGGGGCGCCATCCTGCTCTCGGTGGCACGGGGCAAAGTGTCCGAGGGCATCGACTTTGGTGAGTGGGGCAGGCTCTCCCCGCCCCAGTGGCCAACCTGGCGCTTTCAGGAACTCCTGCTGCTCCCCCAGGGAGCACCTACCTGCCACCTGGGCGTGTGCAGCCCCTCGGCCCTCTCTGGGACCTGTGGGCACCTTATGGCACCCCCACTCCTCAAACTTGCCTGCTCCCCATTTCATCCCACCCACCCCCTCCTGGGGCCCTCCGCGTCACCCTCCGACCGGCCATGTTTGTGACCGTGCTTGCCCCTCCTGCCCTAGTGCACCACTATGGGCGGGCCGTCATCATGTTCGGGGTCCCCTACGTCTACACGCAGAGCCGCATCCTCAAGGTGAGCAGCGGCCTGTTCCGGGGGCCCCTTTCCGGACGGACGGACGGACGGCGTGCCACTGCGGGGGGTCGGTGGGAGGGCAGGCGCGGCTACCCCATCCCTGTCTCCCTGCGGGCAGGCGCGGCTGGAGTACCTGTGGGACCAGTTCCAGATCCGCGAGAACGACTTCCTGACCTTTGACGCCATGCGCCACGCCGCGCAGTGCGTGGGCCGGGCCATCCGGGGCAAGACCGACTACGGCCTCATGGTCTTCGCGGATAAGGTGTGCAAGGGGCCCGGAATTTCGGATGGGGCGGGGCCCTTGTGGGCGGGCCCAGGCTGCCCCCGACACGCCCCCCCCTTCCCCGCTCTCCTACACAGCGCTTTGCCCGCGCGGACAAGCGGGGGAAGCTGCCCCGCTGGATCCAGGAGCACCTCACGGACGCCAACCTAAACCTGACCGTGGACGAGGGTGTCCAGGTGGCCAAGTACTTCCTGAGGCAGATGGCACAGCCGTTCCACCGGGTGCGCGCACCCCGTGTCCACCTCCCCCTTCACACCCTGCCTGCAATCCAGGCCTGAGGACCCCAGGGAATCCTGGGAATCCAAGAACCAAAGATGCAGGGGGGCTATCCTAGGGGTGCCTGGTGGGGGCGCCACAGAGGCAGACGGGGAGAAGAGGGAGTCATGCCACTGGCCCATCTCTGGCCGTTGCCGCTGCCCTCCCTAGGGACTGTCCCCTCCCAGGGGCTGCCTTCTGTTTATCATGTCACAGACTGGGCTCTAAGGGACAGTCCTGCTTCAGGTGTTCTGCCCCTTTGCTCCCCACGGAGCCTCTCCCTGGAGCTGCTGCGCCCGGTCCCTCCCTGGCACCTGAACCCTCGCCCCGTCCCCGCCCCTTCCAGGAGGACCAGCTGGGCCTGTCCCTGCTCAGCCTGGAGCAGCTGCAGTCAGAGGAGACGCTGCGCAGGATCGAGCAGATCGCCCAGCAGATGTGAGGGGCGGGTGACAGAAGCCTGCTCCCGAGGTGGGAAGCCCAGACGCCCGGTCCTCTTCCTTTGTGACAAGTCACAGACTTTAATCGCCAGACAGGAGCAAGGATGGGGGTGCCTGAGACCCCAGGGGGTGGGAGCCAGCAGGTGGGATGAGGAGGGGGCCCCGCCCCAGCCTCCACCCCCTCCCCTGCACTTCCACATGGCCATTCGTCTTAGCGGGGCCTCAGGTCCTGGGTGCTGGCGCTGAAGGTTCGAGAAGCCTCGCTCAGGTGCTGGTTGGGGAACTGGGGACAGGGCATGGGGGACAGGTGAGGGGCAGGCAAGGGGCAGGCCACCCTGCCCACTGGGTGTTGCTCGGTGATCATGGCCACACGCTCCCGTGTCCCCCATATTCACCAGGTCCCCATGGCCACCCCCTGCTGCCGTGTCCCCCCATGTCTAGTCTGACTCCAACCTGTCTCCCCACCCCCACCCCCTTCCACCACTCCAATGCTAGCTTCCCACGGCTGTGCTATCTGCCCCCACCCACCCCAGGTCTCGGCCAGCAGCGTCGCCCCCAGGTGTCCCCCTCACCTGCATCTGACTGCCCGCAGCCCTCGGGCTGTCCATATTCAGTGTGCTGAGGGACATGGCTCTCTTCATTCTACAGAAAGTGGGCCGGGGGCACAGGGGTGAATCCCAGGACTGACTGACCCAGGGAAAGGGAAGCACAGAAGGGTCTTCAGGAGGGGGCGCGGGGTATGTGTGTGTGTGTGTGTGTGTGGCCCATACTCACCCGGCTGCTCCCGCTGCGCCCTCGCCGCGTAGCCGGGAGACCAGCTTCTCGCTCCCCCGCCGGATGGACTCCCGGAGCTTGGAGAAGGAGCTGCTGTGACGCAGGGCCTGGGGGTGGTGGTGGTGGTGGGGAGGACACGGTCAGCCCCGTCCTTCCAGTCTCCACCTCCACCCGGGATCTGAAGCAAAGCCCAGCCTCACCTGCTGATCTGTACCTCCGGCTCCGCCTGTGGTGGGAGCTCCTGCCGGACAGATGGGAGCAAAGGTTGGGGAGTGAGGGTGGAGGGAGCTCTAGGAAAGGCTCCGGGGGCAGGAGGCTCACCGAGTGGGGCGGGCAAGTCCTCTCGGCGGAGGATTTCTTTGTACAGCTCCTCCGCCTGCTGGTACTTGTTCTGCTTCAAGTAAGCTGTGGCCTAGAGGAAGGTCGTCTGAGCCTCAGATCTAGGAACTTCCACCTTGACCTTCCTGCAGCCCCTCCCCCCTCCCCAACCATTCCCCCAAGGAGTCCAGGCCCATCTCTTCCCTCCCAAAGGCCCATTGGCCAGTGCCCTGGCCTCGGCACCCTGCACCCTTTTAGATGTGGTTAACAGCTCAGTTCCACCACTTGCCGGCTGGGTGGCTGAGGCCGGTTAACTAGTCTCTGGGCCCCTTTCCTGCGCCACCTTAAACCACTCTTTCAACCTCTCTGTGCCTCAGTCTCCTCGCCTGCAAAGCCGGGGGAGCGACAGCGCCTACCTCACGGGAGGGTATTGGGGCCTAGCATGCATGGTTTGAGCTCAATAAACGTTTGATGCTGTATCAGCTGGTCCCGGCCCATCTCTGCAGCGCCCCTCACAGCACCTGCTAGTGGGAGGGCTTGCGTGGTTCTTCCCTGCCCAGTTGCTGGGGCGGGGACTCCTGCCCTCCGTGGTACCCCCCACCCCCACCGTCTTGATCGCCACCGCCCTCCATGCCTCATCCCCGGGTGGGCTCGCGGGTGCCAGGCCCTCACCAGGTTGCTCTTGGTCTTGGCCACGCTGGGGTCGTGGGGCCCGCCCAGGGCCTCGTAGATTCGGAGGGCGCGCGCGTAGTACCGCTCCACGTCCTCGAACTTGCCCTGGTTCTGGCAGAGCAGCGCCAGGTTGTTGAGCTGCTTGGCCACGTCGGGGTGGTTGGCGCCCAGGACCTGCAGGTCAGGGTCTCACGTCATGGGGGTCATAGGAGGCCAGGGCCCACGTGATGTCAGAAACCCTAATCTTTGGGGGGGGGTGTCTTGTGTTAAGGATGGAAGCAGAGAAGCCCCACCATCCAATGTGGGGGGGGGAAGAGTCAGGGGGGGTTTGTTGATGGGATCAGAGGTTAGGGATGGAGTCAGAGTAGTAGAGCCTTGGGGGGAGGTCAGAGCCATGGAGGAAGCAGAGCAGGAGCAAACTGGGGGCTCACAGGTTAAGGGTCATGGGGTCAGGGGAGCCTAAGTTAATTCTGAAGACACCAAATGTGAGGGGGGCAAAAGGTCAGAGGTCAGGGGAATACATTTGGACCCTGAAAGGGGATGAGTGCTAGTGGGTTAAATGGGCCCCAGGTCTCCATGGGGGCCCGGCGGCAGCAGGGGCAGGACCTTCTCCCGGATCTCCAGAGCTCGCTGGCACAGGGGCTCCGCTTCCTGGTAGCGCCCGCGCCTCCCGTACAGGACCGCCAAGTTGTTGAGAGTGGCGGCCACCTGCAGGGGTGGTGAGGGTGGGGTCCCAGGTCAGGGGAGGCAGCCCTCAGTCTGCACCCCTCACCCACTGGGGGGCCCAGCATCCCCCTACTAGCCGATCGCCAGGTGCTGGGGGCCTGGTGTTCACCCGACCCCCACTTCCCAACTTAACTTGCTCACAGCCTTGTACTTGGGGCCCAGCATTCCCCCCACTAGCTAGTCCTGGGGACCCTCCACCGGCCCCCCGACTTGCTCACGGCCTGGTGCTCGGAGCCCAGCGTTTGCTCCCGGATCTGCAGGGCGTCATGCAGAAGGTCCGTGGCCTCCTTGTATTTGTTCTGGTCCCTGGGGAGCCGTCACAGGGATTGGGGAGGAGGAGTGGAGGGAGGATTGGCCTGGCTGATCTCAGCAGGACCAAGCCAGGGATCACCCTCCCGGGACCCCTTTGGAGTTGCTCCCACCTTCCCAGTCTTTCTCACTAGGTCACTACTTCCCTGCTCCCCCACCCCCTCCCACTGGAATCTGGGGTACCTGTGGAGGGTGGGGCAGTTCTCCGGAGGAATTTAGAGGGGTCTCAGCCCCCTCTCCTCCATTCCTCCCCTCACGCAGAACTCCCCCACCCCCCACATTGCTTTTCCCTCCTACAGGCACCCAGGTGCCCCACTTGGGCAGAGCAGGCTGCTGCCCCCAGGCTGTCCCCATCCTCACCGGTACACCAGTGCCAGGATGTTGAGCATGGTGGCCACGTCCGGGTGGCAGTGGCCCAGGCTGCGCTCCAAGTCCTCTAGGGCCTGGCGGCACAGTGGCACGGCCACCTCGTAGCGGCCCTGCCCGGCATACTGGATTACCAGGCTGTGCAGGGTACGGAGACGGGCCGGGATCTCATAGCCGCCCTGCTGGGCCACCTCAGAACCTGGACAGGGACATGGAACCTGGTCTGGGTCGTGGCGGGCCTCCCTTCCTCCTGCCCATGCACCCCAGGGGACACCTGCACCCCAGAACTGGAGCCCGACTGGCCCGGGGTCTGGAGGCTCTGCACTGACTCAGACTGCTGTCACCGTCTATGGTCACGCCCAAGGCCTTGGCCACTCTCCTGGCTCGTGAGACCAAGGCCGTCACTACCGCATGGCTGGCCTTTGGGACCCAACCGCACTCGGCTGGGACTACGCCCATGGCCACTCCTCTGCTCTGTGACTGTCCATGTCTTCTGAATGACCTCAAGCCTGCAGCCTCTCTTCTCATGACCACCGCCCCCCACCCAAACCCCAGCTTCCTGCTTCAGCCTCCTGACCATCTTTGCACCCCTGCTCAGAGTCCTGGAGCCCAGCTCACAAAACCCCGCCGCCCGTACCCACCTTTCCTCTCGTCTTCCTCGCTGGGGAACAACGAGGCTAGGCTGTCTCGGCGAGGCGGGGACTTGGGCTGCTGTGGGGAGGACAGAAAGGGAGGTGTCACCGTGGGGGCAGGGCCAGTGTCAGAGCCCAGAGGCCCGTCAGCTCATGGATGGAAGAAGGTGGGGACCCAGAGCCTTGGTAGGGTTGGGGTTAGGGATCTGGGTTGGGAGTGCTGTGGAGCAGCTCTGGGGAAGTCCTGGTGCATCTGGGGGCTGTGGGACTCTGGGGTGGGGTGGTTGGTAGGACGAGGACTTTACAGAGGGTGGGGAGCTGTAAGGTTCTGTGGAGGGTCCGTGGTGCTTTGAGGTGCTGTGGGGTTTTTGTGGAGGGTCAGGGGTCTTTTGGGGGGACTGTAGTGGTCTGTGGAGGGTCAGGGGTCTTTTGGAGGTCTGGGAGAGGCGTAGGAATCTGAAGAGTCAAGAAACTGTGGGACCTTTGTGGAGGGTCAGAGGGTTTGGGGGAACTGTAGGCTAGTTGGGTCAGGAGGTGCTTTGGGATCCTGTGGGGTTGGGTAGAGGGTCAGGGAGCTGTGTACTATCTGTGGAGGGTTAAGGAAGCCCTTTGGGCACTGTGGGACTCTTAGGAGGATCAGGGGGTCTTGGGTGTGTGTGTCGGGCTTTATGGAGAGTGAGGTGTTGTAGTTCATGCAGGGTCAAAGGGGCTTTGGGGGACTGTGAGGGTTTTGCAGAGAATCAGGGGCTATGGGGCTTTGTGGAAGGTCAGGGGGGCTTTGGGCCCTGTCAGGGGTCTTGGGGATCTGGGAACTTTGTGGAGGGTCAGCGGGCTGTGGAGGGCCCGGGGGTCTTTGGGAGGCTGTGGGGTTTTGTGGAGCGTTCAGAGGGTTCTTGGGGGTGGGGGTGGGCGGATGGGCATGGGACTTTGTGGAGAATCAGAGGGATATGGCTTCTGGAAAATCAGGGATCTTGGGAGGGCTGTGGGTCTCTGTGGAGGGCCAGAGGGTCTTGGGTGGGGGGCTTAGGGGTTCTGTGGAAGATCAGGGAGCTTTGGGGCAGTGGGGCCCGTCACCTGGTCCTCTTCGGGTGGGTCGTACTGCCGCAGCTGCCCCAGGAACTCCAGGTGGTTCTTCTCTTCCTCCAGCTGGGCCACAGTCTCCTCGCTGGCCCGCAGCCGCCGCTGCGTCTCCTCCAGCTCCTCCCGCAGCCACGCGTTCTCCTGGGCCAGGCGCCGGGCCTGCGCACGGAGCCGCTGCTTCTCGGCCTCCAGCGCGCCCACGTGCGCCGACAGCGCCAACAGCACCTGCCCGGCGGGGGTGCAGCTCAGGGCCAGGGCCAGGGCCAGGGCCAGGGCCAGAGCCCCCTACTTCTACTCGGGCACCCCCCCAGATTCTGCAGAGAGACTTTTGGCTGTGGCTCGCAGAGATGCTTACGGGTCCCCCTGCAATCCCAAAGCCTCCCCTGGACCCAACGGTCGGCAGGCGTAACCCCATCTGCTTCAGGGGTCCCCCGCCATGGCCCCAAGACCCAAATACCAAACGCCATGCCAAGGAATGGAGTCTGACGCATGGTGACTCCGTGGGTCACAGAGGACCAGCTGCTGCGCTGGGGGCCTTTCTTGGTTGTTATCTTTACAGCCAGCATGCTGACAGTACAGTGGCTTAAGCAGTGGGCTGCTGACTGCAAGGTCCAGTGATTCAAAACCCATCAGGGGCTCGGAGGGAGAAAGCTGAGGCTGCCTGTCAAAAGTCGCAGCCTCCAGGGGACAGTCTAGCACCGATGAAACCTACAACTTTCCTCTAGTTCTTTAATGCTTCCTCCCCCTACTATCATGATCCCAATTCTACCTTATATAAACGGCCAGACCAGAGCATGTACATGGGTACAGATAAGAGCTGGAAATACAGGGAATCCAGGACAGATAAACCCCTCAGGACC